GCCCGAGCGGGTGGTCGGCGTCATCGGCGCCTCGGGCAGCTCCGTCTCCATCATGGTGGCCAACATCCTGCGGCTCTTCAAGGTAGGGCTCGGCCGGGCTGAGAGGAACCCCTCGGCACAGCCACCGCGGGTGCTTTGGCAGTGTTCCTCCGTGCGTGCCTCTTCCTCCACAGCTGGGGGAAGGTGTGAGCTGGTGTCGTTAAAATGCTTCTCCTGCCTCCCCCGGGTCCCCAGGGATCCCTTCCTCCATCCCCCTCCACTGACGGCACTTGGAGCAGGAGGATTTTTATTTCTTCTCCCCCGGCTTCGTGGTGAGGGGGGATGCTGGTGGGGGAGGTGGGCTGAGGATGGGTTATGACACCAGTTATGGTGGTGCTCGATAAGGGGTGTGGGTTATACCCCAAAGTGTAAGGTCCCACCTGAGCCAGAGGGCTGGGCAGCTGAGGACAGGATGGCTGAGGAGTGCAGGGACAGCTGGGATCGCTCTGCTCCAGCCCATGGGATATCAGCCAGGTTGGGGGCACTTGTTCTGTGCCACCAACCCCAGAGGTGCTCAGGCTGTGATGGGATGAGGGCAGCTCTCCCTCCAGTCAGCTGCAGGAATGCTGAGGTGATAATTCCTCTCCCCCTTGCTGTGTATTTATTTATCTGCAGCCACGTCCGTCCCTCTGCAGGAATGAGGGAAGAACGTAAATATTCTGTACCCCCAGCAGGGTGGGAGCCCCATCCCAGCTTGGCCTCCCTCCAGCACCCTGTAACCCCTCTGTTCTGCAGGATTGGTGCTGTTTCCCTTTCTCTCTTCCCCCTCCTCTTCCTCTGCCAGCCCAGCTGAGAGCCGGGTGCCCTCCTGGGAGGGCTGGGAGCTGTTAGTGAAGACAGGAAATCCAGATCGCTGATGGAGTTTGATTTTTCTGGGTCCCTTTTTTTTAAAACGTGTTAATGTTCCAGGCAACGAGTGAGAGGGCTATTCAATAATTAAAATAATATAAATTAGTGGGAGTGGGAGGAACTTAAAAGCTATTTGCTGAGACAAGAAAGATTGAATGCTTGCTCTGGAGAAGAGGAGGCAGGCAGGCAGTGGGGAAGGAGGCAGGAGAGTGACAGTTAGAGGTACCTACAGTCTTTCTAGGTTCTTGCTTTTTTTTTTTTTCTTGCCCTTCTCCAGTTTTGATCCTTGTGTGACCTGTGAAGGAAGGATGTCCCCGAGCTCAGGTGCAACCCTGCCCCAGCTGTGCAGCCAGACACTGGTGCTGCTGGTGGTACATCTTGAGCCCCAGCAGCTTTGATCCAGAGCTGATCCCATCCCAACAGGACAGGGAGGAAACTCAAATGGGGGGAAGGGCAGGTAAAGAGAGGATGGAGACCTCAAAACCCTCTAGGAGGGGAGGACAAGGTCAAGCTCAGTCCTTCCTAGACAGCAGCAAATCCTGGTGTGGGGCTGAGCAGGTGCACAGAGTTGGTGCAGTCCCAGTGGTCCCCAGCACAGGAATACCATTCCCATGGGATGGGGTCTTGTCCCACCCCACTGTCTGGGCACAGGCAGGGGCTGGGGAGTTCTGGGGTCTCTTCCTCCTGCCAGGACCTGAGCGCTGCTGCCGCTCTTTGTTATTCAAACACTGTTTAATGGCTGGGACATGCTGAAAATGAAAATAAGGCGACTTCCATCTCTGCCGCCACTGACCTTTAAGCGCGGGTGACTCTGCTCGGGGGTCCAGCGAAGCTCTGCCGCCTGTGCCCATTCTCTGGGGAATGGCACTTGCTGGAGCTCTGCTCCTGCTTGGCCCCATGTTGCTGTGCCACTTGTGTCCCCCTTGGCGCTCCCTCAGCACAGGGACACTGGTGTGAAGTGCTGGGAGCTGGAACGGGGGACCCGCACGCGATGTTCCCTCCCTGGGGGCAGAGGGGGCAGTTGTGCTGCTGTTTGAAGCACCCTCTGAGTGCTCTGGTTTCTGAATTGCTGACGTGCTTCTCTGGGATGGCTGCAGCACATCTTGGGGGGGGTGTAGCATATTTGGGAGGGCTGTACCATGTCCAGTGAGCGGTGACGGCACAGAATCAACTAAAAAGTCCAACAGGATGAGGAGAAAATACAAGTCCTGCCGAGTCCTGGTTGGGAGGGGGCACAGCAGCCCCCCAGTTTTCCCTGGGAGCCTGGAGCAGCCCGTTCTGTCCTGTGACCAAACACACAGCAGAGGTGGCTGTTCCTGTCTCTGGATGATGCTGTCCTTGCCATGGTCCCTTGCCACATCCCACACTCCCTCCTGTGCACCTCTCCCTCTTCCATCCCTGCTCTCCGTTGCACAGCCCCCAGCCCTCCCTGCCAGGCTGGTCCTGCCCCTCCCTGACAGGGCTTTTCTCGCTCCTGTGCTACATAAATAAATAACAGGTCCTTCGTTAGCTGCCGCTGCCTAATTAAAGCTGTACATCAGTGGAACAACTTGCAGATGCGGCATCCTCTGTCCAAGCTGGTTTCATCACTCCTCGTCGCTCTGCCTGCAGAAAATCCTTCCCCCAAATCGGTGCTCTCGGCTCTGTGCGATAGCATCTCTCTGGCGTCACTGCCAGAGCGCTCCGGCACGTTCCAGCTCCTTCCCACCCCCCACTGCTGGCTTTCCAGCCCCAGCTCTACCCACTGCCTCCTGAACCACCACAGCGGGGATGGTGCGAAGAAACCAGATCCGTGTCCTGTGAGTGTGATCCCCAAAAACCTGCGTCAGGGTTTGGGGGGTGTTTCTCATCCCCATCCAGAAAGAGCTGTGACAGGATGGAGCCCAAGTGCTCAGCCAGGTTGAAGAGCATCCTTGGCCAGAGGATGGACTTGACACGTGCCAGGGCACTTTGAGCCGCTTGTTTTCTCCGTGTCAGTGAGTGCAGCCGCTCTCCTCAGCGCAGGAGTGTTGTACAACATGAATAATTCACCTGGGGACGGTGCTGCCTGTGGTGTGTGCGGCACTGCCACGGGCACTCGGCACCTGCAGGCACACGAGGTTGTGCTGCCTGGGGCTGGGGGTGCTGAGCAGGATCAGCCCCTGGTGCTGAGCCCCCCTGCTCGTGTTGGGGTGCCCGAGGCTCTGGGGGCAGGAGCGATGCTGCGTTTGGCACACGCTTCCCCGCGAGGTGGGTGAATAACCTTCACGGGGTGGGAAGGTGGCAGCCGGCTGGGGACGCTCTGATTAATCACCCCCTCCTGCCACTTCAGTTCCTTGCTCTTCGCTGGGTTTATTTAAACAAATTGCAGCTGCCTGGCTCCCCTGGGCTGCCCCGGCCCCACAGCCCTGAGCTGTTCCCTGGGCACGGCTCGGTGAGGAGGAGTGGGAGGCCGAAGGGACAGTGTCGAAGGGCAGCATCCTCCTGCACCTGCTGTGCTTCCCAGGGCTTTATTTTTACCTTACTGGCCCCTGGCTCAGCACTGGGCCAAGGGGAAGGGGCAGCAGGACAGAGCTGCAGCTCCTCTGCTCCGATGCCCGACCAGCCCCGCTCAGCCCTCGCTGCTCCAGCCCCTGCGGTGCTTTACGCTCTCCCTAATTAAAAGCTGCCATCCAAATGGCTCGATGATGGAAATTCTAATTAAATCAATTCCATCTTGTCAGTGAACCAGAGGTTTGCATAAGATATGCATGAAATTAATAATTATGGGTAGGGAATTGGCTGTTCCCGACCCTGTTTCTGGGATGGGGGGGCTGGTGCAGGAGCCCCTGCTCGTGGGGTGCTCCTGACAAGTGTGCCCAGCTCTGGCTCTGCAATGGCCCTGTTGGTTTGGGGTAATTCCCTCCTGGCTGCTCAGGCCGGTGTTCTGATCGATGGTTTGAGCCTTAGCTGGGATGTGCTGAAATTGCTGCCTTTGATTCTCCCCAGGCTGGGGGATTCTGTCCCACACTGGTGGAGAAAACGCTGCAGCAGCTCCTGAGCCGTGTTAATGATGGGTGACAGGGACGGGTACAAAATCCAGCTTTTCCAGTGCATTGGAAGTCAATCACACCAGTGCATTGATCCAGGACGCTGGGGGAGTAGGATGACATCCTGAACCCTGGCTCCCACCTGCTCTCTTATCCCAAGGGACATTTCTCCAGGCTGGGGGTGCTTCTGGGTGATGCTGATTCTGGTTTTTGGTTCAAAAGAAGAGGAGGAAGGAGATTTTATCCCCTGCCCTGGGATTACTCCCCACTCTGACTCACAGTGAATTCTTGGGGTGCAGGAGAGCTTTCCTGCCCCCTCCTTAACCTGGTGCTTGTTCTAGGCTGGAGATGAGCCAGGCAAGGGACCACCAGTGGCCAAATATGCAGCTGAGATATATTTCCAGCTCCCCCTTCCCGCCACATCCTTCTTTCTAAGAACCTTGAATTCCCTGCCTGCATTTTGCTTTTATGGACCTAAAAGGACTTTTGTCTTTTATCTGAGAAAATAGCTGGTGCCAGGAGTTGGGCTATCAAAAAGGCAGAGGGGGAAAAGGCAGAAGAAATCTATGAAATGGTCATCTGGGAACTGGTGTTTTATTTTCACTTTCATCCAAGGCAGAGGAGCGAGAGAAAAAAAAGCTCTTTTCTTTTGTTTATTAAAATACAGCTTCCAGTTTGTAGCCTGTGGATCAACAGGTATTTTCTGGGCTTTGTTTTCCAACTGAGGTTGGAGCAGGATGGGCAGGCCCGAGGTTGATCCCAGACCACCTGAGCTTGGATGGGGTGGTGCTGGCATGGGGAATAGCTGGGAAGCCTCTATCACCAGTGCCCTGTGCAGAAGGCAGGGGTCTGTTTTGGTTAAACCTAAACACTTCTCAGGGGAAAAATCATTGGGAAAGGATCCTCTGGAAGGGCAGGGTTGCATCCCTGCCTCCAAATCACCTTTGACGTGGGCACTGCTGCCTCCTGTCCGGGTGGTGTGGGCACCCTGCAGGCACTGCCTCCATCCTGAGCCCATGTGGGTCCTGCGGGCACGGCAGGAGGAGGAGGGAGGAGCGGGCTCGGAGCAGCCCCCCCTGCCCGCGGGATGAGTGATTGCCAGGCGGGCGCCTCACCTGCTGAGCAGAATTTTAATCGAGTCTCAGGCACCGGCTCCAGTCACAGATCCCCAACGAGCAGATCAGAGCCCCTCGGAACGGAGCACAAAGCAGATTGTCACAGGGAGTAATCCTATTTGTGCCTTGATAAAGATTCCTTCCTCTCCCTCTCCTTCTCCATCTTTCCTTTTTTCATCTCCTATTTCTCAGGCAGGTAGAAGGGTGGCTGCTCCTTTCCAGGGGCCTTTTAGCATTCAGGTGGAGTCATGGGTTTATAACACGGGAATTGCATTTAGCAGAGAGAGAGGCAGGAGTGGGAGAGGGGAAATAACAGAGAAACAAAGGAGAAACTGGGAGCTGCAGGAGTGGAGGAGGATGGAGTGGGTTCTGGGGCCAGGAGACCCAGGAGGATCTGTGGGATTGCCCTGGTGCCCGTCTCTTTATCCTCGGGATGCTGTGCCCCAGCAGGGCTCCCAGAAGGCTGGCTGGATTTTATAACACAAACTAGGGTTCCCACAGACCCCAAACCTCCCCCTGGCTCCTGCAAGCCCACCCAGGTGTCTCTGCTGCTGGGAATTGGCTGACTGCTTATTGGGGAGGGGCACTGGGTGAGGCAGCCTGAGCTGATTTGGGCATCCCGGTGCCTGCTCAGCCTGGAGGATGATTGGGATCCCTCACAGTCCCCTGTGGTTCTGGCAGCTGCAATTACTGAATTATTCCTAAGTGGATCAGAGGGAACAGGAGAGGAGAAGAGTCCTGGAAGAGCTTGGGATCGTGCTCTGCACCCGCTCACCCCTGAGGCACGGGGTGGTTTGGGGTCAGTAATGCCCTGGGCTGTTCCTCCTCTGTTTTCTCTGTCCTGCAGTAAAGCAGCACCTGCAGGAAGGTGAGAGGGTGGTCGGTGGCCAAAGCCTTCCCTAGGATGCACCAGCTCCAGGCAGCCCTGCTGCCCTGTGGCTCCAGTCCCTGCCATTATTTAAAAGCTTGCCCAGGTTTGGGGCAGGGCTCTGCCAGCCCTTGCTGCACCTGGGGCAGGTACCTGCTTGGGACTGGGATGGGGAGACGGTGGATGAGGCTGTCTGGATACTCGGGATGCCTTTGGGAGGGAGCTTCAGGCTGGTGGTGAGAACCTGGGCTTGATAATTTAATAAGCCTTTTCCATCTTGAAGATAAATGAGGATGTGTGGTGTGTTTTGGAGATGGAAAGTGCTGTGTAAGTGTTAAACATCGCCTGATCCCGCGCTGTTAATCATCCCCGTGCACCGCGAGAGGTGCGGCGGATCTGGTTCATTTAAAGGGCTTATTTATGGCTTGGGGGGGCAGGACCCGGCAGGGGGGTTGGATCTGTCCTTCCTGGGGGAGGAAGCCAAAGGGAGTCCTTGGCAGTGCTGGCCAGGGCAGAATTTGGGTTTTCTCTTTGGCCTTTTCCACGCCAGGCACATCTGATGCTCAGGGAGCCCCTCTGGGGTCCTGCTGGGTGTCCCCAAGCCCACCTGGTGGCACGTGCTCCACCTGACCCACGGTCTTCCTCCACTCCCACCTCCCTCTCCCTCAGATCAGGGCTTTGGGAGCAAGGGCCAGGGGAGGGCATCGCTGTGGGGTGGAGATCACCTGCTCCCCCTGATGCTTTGCCTTTCCCTCCTCCACCCCAGATCCCCCAGATCAGCTACGCCTCCACCGCGCCCGACCTGAGCGACAACAGCCGCTACGACTTCTTCTCCCGCGTCGTCCCGTCGGACACGTACCAGGCCCAGGCCATGGTGGACATTGTCAAAGCCCTCAAGTGGAATTACGTCTCCACCTTGGCCTCTGAGGGCAGCTACGGGGAGAGCGGCGTGGAGGCCTTCATCCAGAAATCCAGGGAGGATGGTGAGTGGATTTCTCCTGGGACGGGAGCAGCTGTGGCTGGAGGAGAAAAGGCAGTGGATGGGGTGGAGGGAACACGTGGGCTCCCTGTGCTGAGCTGGGATGTGTTTGGGGTGATGAAGAGGGTGGATGGTGCAGTTTGGGGCATGACCCCAGAGCAGTGCTGGTTTTGGGGCTGCTGTGCTGATTGCAAGGACAACGAGGTGACCAGGAAGGATTCAAGCTTTCCAGCAAGGGTTGGGACCACCAATATTGGGCTTCCCTCTGCAGGGCAGGCTGCTTTTGGGAAGCATCTCAAGATCCCATTCCCTGCTCCCCAGGAGACCTCAATTCCTCCAAGCTGATCCCTTCCCTCTGCATCTGAGCCACGGTGCTGGGCATCTTCCAGAACAAAAGGCTTTTACAAATATTCCCAGGTTTTAACAGAAAATAAAGTTGGCACTACCGTGCAACTTGCCCAATTTTAGTGGAATTATCCCTGAGGGCAGGTGCTTTAATTTGTCTGTGAGCTTTGGACAGGCAGAAAGTCCATGCTCAGCAAAACTCTTTGGGAGGATTTGTCTAGAGCCAGAAAGCGTTTTGCTGACGGGAGCTCTGGGATGCTTAAGGGGGATTAGCAGCCTCGGGAGCAGTGGGGGAGCTTGTGGGTACCTGAGCATCAACCCTGGGGCAGCTGGGATGGGTGAGGAGCCCTGGGAATTGCTGCTGCAGGCACTCTTACCGTGCACTTGGAGCTGCCCCACGGAGGGCTGGCACAGCACTGGGGTCCCTCCTGGCTCTGGCATCACCTCACCTGTGCAGCATCACGTGCACAGGGTGAGATGGGAGCTAAAGGGTGTTTTTTGAGGCAGTTAAAACCCTGCAGCGCTCAGGCTGCTGCCTATTACTGGCTTAAGTGTGTCTGAATGGCACATTAGGTTCTGGCAAAGTCGGTGGGACACCAGCCTATCTGGAGCCAGTCAAACTGTGTTATGGCCTTATAAATGGATAAAGGGAATAAAAACTTCCAGGTGATGAGCTCCTAATCAAAGCCCCATAAATGGGAACAGCGTTAATTCCGTCTCGCGCGCGCCCTGGCACTGGAACCAGCAACGCTTTCAGTATGCAGAGAAACCCATCTGGGGATCCAACCTGGGAGCTGCTCTTCAGGATTTTCACTTGAAAAGCAGAATATTTTCATGGGGCTGTGGTTTTCCAAGAAGGAGCGCGTGGGGATGCTCCGGAGCAGCCGCTGCTGGGGGTGTGGATCTGGGTGCAGAGGTGCTGCTGGGGAGGTGGATCTGGGTGCAGAGGTGCTGCTGGGGG